ACCCCCCCCCCCCCCACCTCACCGCCATTTGTCAACCCCCCCCACCTCACCGCCATTTGTCACATGTAAGGTTGCGGGAGCAATACAGTTTATTGAAGATCAACCCATAAAGCCCCCCACTTCCTTGCTGACATCTACGTGATGACGTCACAGCGAGCCCATGGATACCAAACACGGCCCGGGTCACCCACTTCCAGGCCGTTCCTCTCCGGACCCATCTCTCCGACCTCCACCAAGCTGCATTTTGTGCTAGAAGATGGCTCCGAACCCCCAGACGGTCTATACAGGCCCTAGAGGGTAACCCGGGGGGGGGGGGGGGGGCGTTGTGTGGGTGATGGTGCGCCGAGGTCACAGTTACACTTCACAAAAAACACAACAGAATATACAATGTGATCTCACGCCGAGTACATAGATACCAAACACGTCCCGTGTCACCCGCTTCCTGCCCACGATGGGGCTGACGCCTCCTACAGGCACAGGTCTGGGGGGGTTGGCTAGAAAAATGTCTTCGAACCCCCAAACATACTGTATGTGTGTATATATACACTCACCGGCCTCGTTATCAGGCCCACCTGTTCAATGGCTTGGTAACACAAACTGCTAATCAGCCAATCACATGGCATCTAGACGTGGTGAAGACAACTTGCTGAAGTTCAAACCGAGCATCACAATGGGGAAGAAAGGGGATTTAGGTGACTTTGAATGTGGCGTGTTTGTTGGTGCCAGGCGGGCTGGTCTGAGGACTTCAAAAACTGCTGATCTCCTGGGATTTTCCCGCACAACCATCTCTAGGGGTACAGAGAATGGTCCGAAAAAGTGGAGGAAAATGCCTTGTTGGTGTCAGAGGAGAATGGGCAGACTGGTTGGAGATGATGGGTAACAGGAACACCAATAACCCCTCGTTACACCCAAGGTACGCAGAATACCATGTCTGAGCTCATAACACGTCCAACATTGAAGCAGATGGGCTACAGCAGCAGAAGACCACATCAGGTGCCACTCCTGTCAGCTAAGAACAGGAAACGGCGGCTACAAGTCACACAGAATCACCAACATTGGACAACAGAAGATTGGACAACATTGCCGGGTCTGAGGAGTCTGGATTTCGGCTGCGACATTCAGATGGTGGGGTCAGAATTTGGCATAAACATGAAAGCATGGATCCATCCTGCCTTGTATCAATGGTTCAGGCTGGTGGTGGTGTCATGGTATGGGGGATCCATCCTGCCTTGTATCAATGGTTCAGGCTGGTGGTGTCATGGTGTGGGGGGATCCATCCTGCCTTGTATCAATGGTTCAGGCTGGTGGTGGTGTCATGGTGTGGTGGATCCATCCTGCCTTGTATCAATGGTTCAGGCTGGAGGTGGTGTCATGGTGTGGGGGATCCATCCTGCCTTGTATCAATGGTTCAGGCTGGAGGTGGTGTCATGGTGTGGGGGATCCATCCTGCCTTGTATCAATGGTTCAGGCTGGTGGTGGTGGTGGTGTCATGGTGTGGGGGATCCATCCTGCCTTGTATCAATGGTTCAGGCTGGTGGTGGTGGTGTCATGGTGTGGGGGATCCATCCTGCCTTGTATCAATGGTTCAGGCTGGAGGTGGTGTCATGGTGTGGGGGATCCATCCTGCCTTGTATCAATGGTTCAGGCTGGTGGTGGTGGTGTCATGGTGTGGGGGATCCATCCTGCCTTGTATCAATGGTTCAGGCTGGTGGTGGTGTCATGGTGTGGTGGATCCATCCTGCCTTGTATCAATGGTTCAGGCTGGAGGTGGTGTCATGGTGTGGGGGATCCATCCTGCCTTGTATCAATGGTTCAGGCTGGTGGTGGTGTCATGGTGTGGGGGATCCATCCTGCCTTGTATCAATGGTTCAGGCTGGTGGTGGTGGTGTCATGGTGTGGGGGATCCATCCTGCCTTGTATCAATGGTTCAGGCTGGAGGTGGTGTCATGGTGTGGGGGATCCATCCTGCCTTGTATCAATGGTTCAGGCTGGTGGTGGTGGTGTCATGGTGTGGGGGATCCATCCTGCCTTGTATCAATGGTTCAGGCTGGTGGTGGTGTCATGGTGTGGGGGATCCATCCTGCCTTGTATCAATGGTTCAGGCTGGTGGTGGGGGTGTCATGGTGTGGGGGATCCATCCTGCCTTGTATCAATGGTTCAGGCTGGTGGTGTCATGGTGTGGGGGATCCATCCTGCCTTGTATCAATGGTTCAGGCTGGTGGTGTCATGGTGTGGGGGATCCATCCTGCCTTGTATCAATGGTTCAGGCTGGTGGTGTCATGGTGTGGGGGATCCATCCTGCCTTGTATCAATGGTTCAGGCTGGTGGTGTCATGGTGTGGGGGATCCATCCTGCCTTGTATCAATGGTTCAGGCTGGAGGTGGTGTCATGGTGTGGGGGATCCATCCTGCCTTGTATCAATGGTTCAGGCTGGTGGTGGTGGTGTCATGGTGTGGGGGATCCATCCTACCTTGTATCAATGGTTCAGGCTGGTGGTGGTGTCATGGTGTGGTGGATCCATCCTGCCTTGTATCAATGGTTCAGGCTGGTGGTGGTGGTGTCATGGTGTGGTGGATCCATCCTGCCTTGTATCCATGGTTCAGGCTGGTGGTGGTGTCATGGTGTGGGGGATCCATCCTGCCTTCTATCCACGGTTCAGGCTGCTGGTGGTGGTGTCATGGTGGGGGGGAGATTTTCTTGGACACACTTTGGGCCCCTTAGTACCAATTGAGCATCGTATAAACACCACGGCCTACCTGAGTATTGTTGCTGACCATGTCCACCCCTCTATGACTCCAGTGTCCCCATCTTCTGATGGCTCCTTCCGGCAGGATAATGCTCCATGTCACAAAGCTCCAATCATCTCCAACAGGTTTCTGGAACATGACAATGAGGTCCCTGGACTCCAATGGCCTCCAGTCACCAGATCTCCATCCAATGGAGCACCTTTGGGATGTGGTGGAACGGGAGATTCCCATCATGGATGTGCAGTTGACAAATCTGCAGCAACTACGTGACACCATCATGTCTATATGGACCAACATCTCTGAGGAACATTCCCAACACCTTGTTGCATCTATGCCATGAAGAATGAAGGCAAAAGGGGGTCCAAGCAGAGACCCTGGAGGACTGACCTATGTGCTCAGCTTTGGACAGGGAGGAGCTTTACATGTTTTAACATTGTTTTATTAAAAATTTTTTTTTTTTTTCGCTGTCCTTATAATTGTTTTGGAAGCTTTATTGCTATCCCGAGAGATGAACGGCATCAGTAGCATGGGTCATGACAGGTCCTCTTTACTAGGAGATCTGATGTGTATTAGACCTCACATCTCTCCTCTGCTCTCCAAAGCTTCTGATCACACCCTGATAGGCGAGCAATGTCAGCTGTGTCCCCGGAAGTGACACCATAGAGGTCAGTTCCAGGGTCATGTGTCACAGGGAAAGAATGTTCTCACTGCACTTGTTTTCTATGGTACCCAGAGGAACAGGAGAGCCCGGCAACCACCACAGGTGCCACCAGTGGGGAGATGGGGGGCATCATTTGAGAGTCTCATAAAAGCAATTGGGCAGCTATAGAGCTCATAACCTAGTACTGGGTAGTCGGCTTCAGCTGGCCATGGTGAGGTGTGACATCTGCTGGGTGGACCAAGTGCCTTCCCCTGTCAGGAGCCTTGCCCTTTGGGGATAGGTGGTCAGGGAAAGGACCGCCCTCTTTAGGAGGTGACCTGTGACACAAAATGTGTAGGGAGATCCCTGGGTGTCCTCTTCTGCCATGGCTGCCCAGTGCTTGGGGGGGGACATGATTGGTGTCATGATTGCTATCCTGAGGATGGTGAGTAACAGAGGAGTACAGCCTTGAGGATGGGGGGAGGGTACCATAGAGAGGTACAGCCTTGAGGATGGGGGGAGGGTACCATGGAGAGGTACAGCCTTGAGGATGGGGGGAGGGTACCATGGAGAGGTACAGCCTTGAGGATGGGGGGAAGGTACCATGGAGAGGTACAGCCTTGAGGATGGGGGGAGGGTACCATAGAGAGGTGCAGCCTTGAGGATGGGGGTGCAGGAGGGTACCATAGAGAGGTACAGCAGCTTGAGGATGGGGGGAGGGGATACCATAGAGAGGTACAGCCTTGAGGATGGGGGGAGGGTACCATGAGAGAGGTACAGCCTTGAGGATGGGGGGAGGGTACCATGGAGAGGTACAGCCTTGAGGATGGGGGGAGGGTACCATAGAGAGGTGCAGCCTTGAGGATGGGGGGAGGGTACCATAGGGTAGAGGTGCAGCCTTGAGGATGGGGGGAGGGTACCATCGAGAGGTGCAGCCTTGAGAATGGTGAGTAGCATAGAGAGGTACAGCCATGGGGAAGGGGGGTACCATAGAGAGGTGCAGCCTTGAGGATGGTGAGTACCATAGAGAGGTACAGCCATGGGGAAGAGGGGTACAATAGAACAGTACAGTGCGGAAGTGGCACCTCACACCTGGCCCAATGGACTCTCAGTACCTTTAGAGAAGCTCTGCCCAGAGATGATGCCTCACACCTGGCCCCAGGGACTGGCAGTACCATAGAGAAGTACAGCCTTGTGGATGGTGAGTACCAAAGAGTAGCATTTCCTGAGGTGGCATCTCTCACCTGGCCACAGGGACTGTCCGTACCATAGAGAAGCACTGCCCCAAAGGTAGCCTCTCTCACCTTGCCTCCCGGGGGTTGGGACTTTTAGGAGTGTGCTTTACTTTCCATCGTTGGCACATTGGGCCTTGCTGGGATCTCAGGTGGCTGTAGGACCAGTACTACTGACATCCCTGACACTGGAGCCTGTGGTTCCTGTACTGGTCAGCCATGTTCTGTAGTAAGGTGTCACAGGCTTATAGTCCATGTCATGAGTCTGAGGTGGACGAAGGGACCGCATGTCACGCAGTTTCCTGACATCTTTGTGTCTTCCTTTCTCGCAGATTCTCTATCCTGGCCCCGAGTCCCTCTCCCTGGTAGCGGCGGTGAATCATGCCTTTACCCAGAGATGAGATGGGTGAGCCTCCTCTCAGCCACACTCCTATCCCGATCCCGGCCTACTTCCACCAAGCAGAGGAGAGCTTCTCACTGAAGAAGAGGGGCCGCTCACTCTGCTACACCCTCCCACCACGTCCTCCGGTGAAGAGCGGGGCCTCCATCAGCCGACTCTTCCCCAACAAACAGCGATCATGGAGCCAGCCTCGTCCCCAGAGCGTGTCCTTCCGAAGCCCTCAACCCAAGGAACCCGACAGTCAACTGTACGACCACAGCAAGGGAGAGACCTTCTTCAAGCAGTGCTTCCAGAGTGTCTGCAAATTGGGCCGGGGCTCCTTTGGAGAAGTGTATAAGGTGAGCAGTGGTGGATGGGGGACTGGGGCTGATGGTGGGTTCCGGTGCCGGCCCGTAGCTGACTCCAGGGCTGGTTCCGGTGCTGGTCCGTAGCGGATTCCGTGGCCGGTTCTGGTACGGCCTGTAGATGACTCCAGGACAGAGCACGACTCAGTGGTAGCCTGGATCCAACACTACACCTGGGAGCCAGGTAATGGTGGCCTGTGGTGCTGCTGGAGGTTGAGTTCCCTGTGTCAGCAGAATATCTCCTCACATTGGTGTATAATATGGAGATGTTCTTCTCACTTTGTAAATCTTTGGTTTCTTGAAGGTGCGAAGTCGGGAGGACGGATGTTTTTATGCCGTGAAGCGCTCGGTATCTCCGTTTCGGGGCGAGTCTGACCGCCATCGTAAGCTGGAAGAAGTGAGAAAACACGAGCGCGTGGGGGAGAGCACCCCAATTGCTTGCGCTTTGTGCGTGCCTGGGAGGAGAAACGCATGTTGTATCTACAGACGGAGCTGTGCGTGGGGAGCCTGCAGCAACATTCTGAGGATTTCGGTGCTCCTCTGCCCTCCCGACAAGTGTGGGACATCACATGTGACCTCCTGCGGGGGCTGAAACATCTCCATGACCGCAACCTGCTGCACCTGGACATCAAACCTGCCAACGTCTTCATCTCCTTCTCCGGGGTCTACAAGTTGGGGGACTTTGGGCTGATGGTGGAACTGGACGGTGCAGAGGGGAGCAGGGATGCTCAGGAGGGGGACCCTCGGTATATGTCTCCAGAACTGCTGGATGGGGTCTTCACTAAAGCAGCCGACGTGTTTAGGTGAGAGGAAGACCTCGCCTGTTTTCTCTCTGGATTTTATACTATAAAAAACTCCCCCAGAGGTTTCTCCATCGTTCATTGGGTGACACAGGAATTCAGATAGTCGGGTTATGTTGCTGCCTACAGGTGGTCGGGACTCTGGCAAACAAAACATATGAAAACCCGCCTCCTATAACCACTCCTCTACCCAGCATTCCTCAGTTTTTTTTTTTGTTGTCCCAGGAGGTTGGAGGCCTTCAGCTGTACTAAAACTGAAGTCTCTCTTGTGTTTGCAGCCTTTTTACTAACATGAAGGTTCGTCGGTTGGTTCCCCTACAAGTCTCAGCGGTCTCTTCCAATCCTTATGGGATATTTTTGCTGTGATGATTCTCGCTTTTCGAAGTGATCTGGTTGTGTCATTGGTTGTCTGGCCAGTTACTTCACTCTTATCGTTTTGTTCCATGAATCCCAAGGGTTGGTCAGGGCCGGATTTCCCATAGGCATGTGCCTAGGGGGCGCCCATCTGGGGGGAGGGAGACTTGTCCGCAGTTAAATAGCAGACACACTCCTGTAGAGGAGGGGACAATCCTGTCACAGTACATCTGGGTCTTGTCTCCTGGGAGATGGGTGGTGATTGGTCCTCTTGTCTTGTTTCTATGGTATTGGCAGGGAGGCGTGGTGTCGGTGTTTGAGACGTGTCCCGAGATTTGGTTGCCGCAGTTAGGATGATGGTCTTCAGGGTCCTGGCTCTATGTATATATCCAGGTACTCGGTGAGGGAGGTGCTGTGCCAGGCTGTCCAGGGTTGCTCAGGTGGTGGATCGGTTCCCCTGCCTGGTCCAGGGAGATCGGCATAGTCTATTTCATGTCTTTACCGGGATGGAGCACAACACGTGTCGGGGTCATCAGTGATAGGCGGCTGGTATGGGGGGAGGGGAAAGAGGAGTTACACAGAATGTCCGCACTGCCAGTCCCATCTGCGAGGCTCCACTGAGCACAGAGATTGGCCAGAGGGGTCCTGGTGATTGGAGGGGGGGGGGGGGGGGAGGCTATAGGTGATTGGAATTAGATGGCTTTGGGTGGTGAAGAGGGGAGTGACATTTGGGATGGAGTTGTAGAAAGTACATGAGGCTTTTTGGGAGGGGCTATTTAAAGGTGAGTGGTATTTGGGGGTGGGGCTATTGAGAGAGGAGCTGCACTTGGGGATGAAGTTATGTAGATGTGAGTGGCATTTGGGGGTGGGGCTATGGAGAGGGAGCTATGTTAGCAGGGCTATTGGGAGTAGAGGGGCCATTGTGGGAGTGGCTATGAAGAGTACAGGGGGGTTGTGGGTGAGGCTATGAAGAGCTGGTTGGGGTTATGGAGCAAAGTGATGGGTGAGCAGTAGTGTTGTGCAAAAACCTCTGGCAACCAATCAGATATGATGTGCTGTATCCTCCAGCAACCAGTCAGGGAGCGGTATTGACATGCTGTAACCTCTGGCAACCAATCACTGTCTGAGCTGCTGCAGTAAACTGATTTTCAGTCTAGCTGCTATTTATTGTATGTCTCAGAGCAGGTGGAAAGCCCCTTGCATCAGAGTTCCCCTTTGCATCGCAGTCCGCAGAGTTCCCCTTTGCATCGCAGTCCGCAGAGTTCCCCTTTGCATCGCAGTCCGCAGAGTTCCCCTTTGCATCGCAGTCCGCAGAGTTCCCCTTTGCATCGCAGTCCGCAGAGTTCCCCTTTGCATCGCAGTCCGCAGAGTTCCCCTTTGCATCGCAGTCCGCAGAGTTCCCCTTTGCATCGCAGTCCGCAGAGTTCCCCTTTGCATCCAGTCCGCAGAGTTTTTGCATCGCAGTCCGCAGAGTTCCCCTTTGCATCGCAGTCCGCAGAGTTCCCCTTTGCATCGCAGTCCGCAGAGTTCCCCTTTGCATCGCAGTCCGCTGTATTACACACATAAGTATTTGTATAAAAATGCTATCAAGTAAAAAAAAAAAAAAAATTTGGCCTTACTGTCTTTTTTTTTTTTTTTTTTTTTTTTGGTGAGAGGCGCTTCATAATTCTCTGCCTATAGGCTCCCGAGATGTAAATCCTCCCCTGGGTTGGCAGTGTAAGGTTTGGTTGTCTGGCCAGGTCACCTTACTAGTACACTCCCAACCCTTGGGATTCAGGGAACAAAGGATGAGTACACAGAGGTAACTTGGCCAGACAACCAAACCTGGGTACTTCACTGTTCTCATCCTTTGTTGCCAGAATCCCAGGGGTTAGGAGTGTCAGGTTTGGTTGTCTAGCCAGGTAACTCGCTGTTGTCATCCTTTGTTGCCCGAATCCCAGGGGTTGGGAGTGTCAGGTTTGGTTGTCTAGCCAGGTAACTCACTGTTCTCATCCTTTGTTCCCAGAATCCCAGGGGTTAGGAGTGTCAGGTTTGGTTGTCTAGCCAGGTAACTCGCTGTTGTCATCCTTTGTTCCCAGAATCCCAGGGGTTGGGAGTGTAAGGTTTGGTTGTCTAGCCAGGTAACTCACTGTTCTCATCCTTTGTTCCCAGAATCCCAGGGGTTAGGAGTGTCAGGTTTGGTTGTCTAGCCAGGTAACTCGCTGTTGTCATCCTTTGTTGCCCAGAATCCCAGGGGTTGGGAGTGTAAGGTTTGGTTGTCTAGCCAGGTAACTCACTGTTCTCATCCTTTGTTCCCAGAATCCCAGGGGTTAGGAGTGTAAGGTTTGGTTGTCTAGCCAGGTAACTCGCTGTTGTCATCCTTTGTTGCCCAGAATCCCAGGGGTTGGGAGTGTCAGGTTTGGTTGTCTAGCCAGGTAACTCACTGTTGTCATCCTTTGTTGCCCGAATCCCAGGGGTTGGGAGTGTCAGGTTTGGTTGTCTAGCCAGGTAACTCGCTGTTGTCATCCTTTGTTGCCCGAATCCCAGGGGTTGGGAGTGTAAGGTTTGGTTGTCTAGCCAGGTAACTCACTGTTCTCATCCTTTGTTCCCAGAATCCCAGGGGTTGGGAGTGTAAGGTTTGGTTGTCTAGCCAGGTAACTCACTGTTCTCATCCTTTGTTGCCCAAATCCCAGGGGTTAGGAGTGTAAGTTTGGTTGTCTAGCCAGGTAACTCACTGTTGTCATCCTTTGTTGCCAGAATCCCAGGGGTTGGGAGTGTAATGTTTGGTTGTCTAGCCAGGTAATTCACTGTTGTCATCCTTTGTTGCCCGAATCCCAGGGGTTGGGAGTGTAAGGTTTGGACCTTTCTGCTTGTGGGCCGTCTGATCTTTCTTGTGGACCTTTTTTGTTTCCTTTGGAGAACTGGGCACTTGTCCCATTGGTCTTGCTGACTATATCCCATTGTTGGGTCTCTTTTGTTTGTCAGGTCGTTGGTGTTCCACCTATTATGGTGGGTTGTAGTGTCACAGGCTCTCGTTGGTTCAGGCTCCTAGTAATTTCGTTGGTGGTTTCTTCTGTCCCATTCTTTAGGGTAAGGGTTGGTCCTCTGTGGCCTCTCCTTTGGTTGTAGGCAGATTCCTCTGTCTTGCAGAGGCTTCTTCTTACGTGGTTAAGATTTGGTCCTTCATGTAGTCCTTGTAGGAGATTCCTAGTCCCTCGTTGGATCTGTTCTGGTCTGTTGGCCACCCCTCAGTTGGACTGCTGTTGGGTGTCACCTTCTGTATCTGAATTCCTGTGTCCCTCAATGGACGAGGGATAAAATGTCTTGTATATATGTCAGAGGATGGAAGTTCTGTCACACTGGAGTTGGGATATGGAGTTGGATTTTACAGTTTGGGATATCCTAAATCTGAAAGTCTGCAGATATTGATGAGGTTGATGGTGTTCTTCCACCTAACTGTCTATGTCCCCATCTTCTAGTCTCGGCATGTCGCTGCTGGAGGTCGCCTGTAATATGGAACTCCCGAAGGGAGGGGAGAGCTGGCAGCAGCTACGACGGGGTCATCTTCCCACAGAGTTCACTTTACGTGAGTTCCCACACTGCACTGGGGAGAAGATGGGTCCCGGTGTTCAGATTGGAATGTATGGGCCCACCTTCCCTAGGAAAAGGTTGTCGCTGGAGATCCCACCTCGCATCCTGTCCCAGGAGGAATCTCTCAGCTCAGACCAATACAGTCCTCCTGGAAGAATTCTGGTACATTGATTGTATAATTCTACCTGTTTTCTAGAATTACCGCAGGATTTCCTGAAGGTTCTGGGCGGCATGCTGGAGCCGGACTATCGCTGTCGGGCCACCGTGGACTGGCTGCTCTCCCTTCCTGCGATTATTAGGGCTGAGCGATGGAGGAAAGCCACTCTGACTACCAAAAATATGCTTTCCAAAATATTTGTCGTCTTCCAGGTACGATCAATCGATGTCTGTTCCTAACAGGTCTTCATGCTGTGCCTCACCTCTCCTTCAGTCTGTCTTCTCTGGTATATGATTTTACTTATGGGAAAAGCTGCTCTGATAGAAGCACACAGGCTGCCATTGCTGACTTGTTCTGCCGATGTTCCCTGACTGTGTGCTGGTCCTCCACAACCACTGACCTGGAGACAGTGAGCCGATAAGTGACCCTTCTGACGTTCCAGATACTGTAGGCTTCTCCCAGGTCAGTGAAATAATCGAGAGGCCATCCCTGCAAACCAAACACACTCTTACCTGTCCGCTGTCTGCCCTTCTAATCCTTCACTGAAGAGCCAATCTTCCCGAGAACCTTCAACACCCTGGGAGTGCCAGATTCCTGAACCCCCCCTCAGGAGGGGACAAGGACACACCACAGGGTACGATGATAGAAACCACGGAGCCCAGTGGGGGACCAGGACACATCATGGGGACAATGGAAGGAACCATGGGACCCAGTGGGGGACAAGAACACACCGCAGGAGATAGTGGGGAACCAGGACACAGCACAGGGGACAATGGAAGGAACGTCTGGGTACATCGGGAGACAAGAGGAGGCAGCGGGGGACCAGGACACAGCACACACGGGACAGCGGGGGACCAGGACACAGCACACGGGACAGCGGGGGACCAGGACACAGCACGGGACAGCGGGGGACCGGGACAACGGACACAGCACAGGAGGACACAAAGGGGGACCGGGACACGGCGCGGGGGGTGGACCGGGACACGGCGCCGGGGGCGCCGGGGCACGGCGCGGGGGAGCGGGGCACGGCACAGCGGGGCACGGCGGCGGGGGACCGGGACACGGCACAGGGGACAGGCGGGGGGGGGGACCTGGGGAGCCGGGGACACGGCACGGGGGACCGGGACACGGCACAGGGGACAGCGGGGGGGGGGGGACCGGGACACGGCACAGGGGCGGGGGACCGGGACACGGCACACGGGGACACGGGGGGGCAGGGGGACGGGACACGGCACGGGACAGCGGAAGACCAGGGGACAGCACAGGGGACAGCGGGGGGGGACAGCACCAGGACACAGCACAGGGGACAGCGGGGGGGGGACCAGGACACAGCACAGGGGACAGCGGGGGACCAGGACACAGCACAGGGGACCAGGACACAGCATGGGACAGTGGGACACCCAGTAGTGGTGTCAGATATGAAGGGAGATTGCTGCTGAAAGATCTCCAGCACATTGGAGTTGGGCGGTTCGGTCAGCAAACGGGTGATTGGTGTTTGATTTGGAGAGATTCTTTCCAGTCTGAAAGGCGGCATTTCCAGCGGGGTTCAGCAGTGGTCACCCCCACACTCCAGGTTACAATAATAAGTGCCCCCCCAGATCTGCAGAACTCGGCCTATTAGGATGTGGTGGTCAGCCTTTCACCTCCTCCCCTGGGAGGTGTCCTCCATGTGTAATTTTCATTTCTTTGTTCTCCGTCTCCCTCAGTTTCTCATGTGGCTCGTGTCAGTGGTGTTCCACGGCTTGAAGCGCCCGGTGAGGTGGCTGTGGCGATGGGGGAGGGGTATTCCTCTGTTGCAGTCCCTGCCTTCTTCTCCTTCGCCCAACCTGCTTGCTGAGAGCAGCCTGTCCAGTGACTGGGATGAGGACAGCTTTGGGGAAGATGTGTTTGATGTTCCGCCCAGCCCACTAGGCATCGTCCAGAGGCTCTCCTATGATGGACTGGAGTTCCCTCTCAGGTGAGTATAGCACATTATGGTGACTTGCTGCTCTATACCTGATTATTGGTTATTAACCCCAACCTGGTGTCTTGACGTGACAGAATCATGTGAACCATGAAGGACAGAACCCAGACTAGATCTTCACAGGTCAGTCCACCTAAGGCTGGTTTCAGCTAAAGGTGGAGCCTCCAGGGGTAAACACCTGACAGCTGCTTAGAGGTGCATATACCTGCAGAAGCTTTCATTGGCCCCACCCCCTCTTTTTCTGGCCCCATCCCCACCTCAGCGGTCATTGGGCCCCGTCTCCGCCTCCTCAGTGGTCTTTGGGCCCCATCCCCACCCCCTCAGCGGTCATTGGGCCCCCATCCACCCTCTCAGTGGTCATTGGGGCCCCATCCCCGCCTCCTCAGTGGTCATTGAGGCCCCATCCCCGCCTCCTCAGTGGTCATTGGACCCCATCCCCGCCCTCCTCAGTGGTCATTGGGGCCCCATCCCCGCCTCCTCAGTGGCCATTGGGGCCCCATCCCCGCCTCCTCAGTGGTCATTGGGGCCCATTGGGGCCATTGGGGCCCATCCCCGCCTCCTCAGTGGCCATTGGGGCCCCATCCCCGCCTCCTCAGTGGCCATTGGGGCCCCATCCCCGCCTCCTCAGTGGCCATTGGGGCCCCATCCCCGCCTCCTCAGTGGCCATTGGGGCCCCATCCCCGCCTCCTCAGCGGCCATTGGGGCCCCATCCCCGCCTCCTCAGCGGTCATTTGGGCCTCGGCCCCCGCCTCCTCAGCGGTCATTTGGGCCTCGGCCCCCGCCCCCCTCAGCGGTCATTTGGGCCTCGGCCCCCGCTCCCTCCGTTTTTTATATTGTTCCATCTTTGCATATTGTGCTACCTTTCCATTGGTTTTACTCTTCAGAAATTCTCCAGAGCTGATGTCACGGCCATCCCTGGGCAGCACATCGACCCCTTGCAACAAGTCTCCTGATTACAGCACAAGGAAGAGGTAAGTGCTCGGTCTCTGCTCTGTGGGTGCTTCATCCTTCATCTGTACTACTTCCCCTATCATTCTCCATTATCATTCTCTGTCATCCTTTCATCTGTATTCCTTCCCCTTTCATCTCTCATTTATATTCCTTTCTTCATGGTGGAGAGTTCCAATAGGTATGTGCTTGTTATGGTGAGTTCCCGATAGTGAGGGACGGTATTGGGTTGGGAGGTGTAGACGGTATGTACTAATCATGGTGAGCTCCCGATACTGAGGGACAGTTGGGTTGGGGAGGTGTGGACGCTGAGTTCCCGAAAGTGAAGGATGGTATTGGGTTGGGAGGTGTAGACGGTATGTACTAATCATGGTGAGCTCCCAATACTGAGGGACAGTGTTGGGTTGGGAGGTGTGGACGCTGAGTTCCCGATAGTGAAGGATGGTATTGGGTTGGGAGGTGTGGACGGTATGTACTAATCATGGTGTGCTCCCGATACTGAGGGACGGTGTTGGGTTGGGAGGTGTGGATGCTGAGTTCCCGATAGTGAGGGACGGTATTGGGTTGGGAGGTGTAGACGGTATGTACTAATCATGGTGTGCTCCCGATACTGAGGGACGGTGTTGGGTTGGGAGGTGTGGACGCTGAGTTCCTGATAGTGAGGGATGGTATTGGGTTGGGAGGTAGGTGTGGACAGTAAGTTCCCGATACTGAAGGACGGTGTTGGGTTGGGAGGTGTGGATGGTGAGTTCCCGATAGTGAGGAACGGTATTGGGTTGGGAGGTGTGTGGACAGTATGTACTAATCATGGTGAGTTCCCGGTACTGAGGGACAGTGTTGGGTTGGGAGGTGTGGACGGTGAGTTCCCGATACTGAGGGCCGGTGTTGGGTTGGGAGGTGTGGGGCGGTGAGTTCCCGATACTGAGGGGCGGTGTTGGGTTGGGAGGTGTGGTGGACGGTGAGTTCCCGATACTGAGGGCCGGTGTTGGGTTGGGAGGTGGTTGGGAGGTGTGGACGGTGAGTTCCCGATACTGAGGGCCGGTGTTGGGTTGGGAGGTGTGGACGGTGAGTTCCCGATACTGAGGGCCGGTGTTGGGTTGGGAGGTGTGGACGGTGAGTTCCCGATACTGAGGGCCGGTGTTGGGTTGGGAGGTGTGGACGGTATTGGGGGGCGTGGAGGGTGGTGAGTTCCCGATACTGAGGGACGGTGTTGGGTTGGGAGGTGTGGACGGTATGTACTAATCATGGGTGAGTTCCCGGTACTGAGGGACGGGTTGGGGGGGTGTGGACGGTGAGTTCCCGATACTGAGGGGTGGTGTTGGGGTTGGGAGGTGTGGACGGTGAGTTCCCGATACTGAGCGCCGTGTGTTGGGTTGGGGGTGTGGGACGGTGAGTTCCCGATACTGAGGGCCGGTGTTGGGTTGGGTTGTGGACGGTGAGTTCCCGATACTGAGGGACGGTGTTGGGTGTTGGGTTGGGAGGTGTGGACGGTGAGTTCCCGATACTGAGGGCCGGTGTTGGGTTGGGAGGTGTGGACGGTGAGTTCCCGATACTGAGGGACGGTGTTGGGTTGGGAGGTGTGGACGGTGAGTTCCCGATACTGAGGGACGGTGTTGGGTTGGGAGGTGTGGACGGTTTCCCGATACTGAGGGCCGGTGTTGGGTTGGGAGGTGTGGACGGTGTAGGTGGGGGCGTGTGGAGGTGTGGAGTTCCTCGAGGGAGGGGGTGTTGGGGGGAGGTGTGGACGGTGAGTTCCCGATACTGAGGGACGGTGTTGGGAGGTTGGGGTGTGGACGGTATTGGGGAGGGGTTGGGGAGGTGTGGACGGTGAGTTCCGATACTGAGGGAGGTGTGTGACGGTGTGAGGGTGGGGGGGAGGTGTGGACGGTGAGTTCCCGATACTGAGGGACGGTGTTGGGGAGGTGTGGACGGTGAGGCGGGGAGGGTGAGGTTCCCGATACTGAGGGCCGGTGTTGGGTTGGGAGGTGTGGACGGTGGAGTTGGGGAGGTGTTGTGGAGGTGGTGGATGGTGGGGGGCCGATACGAGGGGTGAGGGGACGTGAGTGTTGGGGAGGTGTTGGGGGGAGGTGGTGAGTTCCCGATACTGAGGGCGGTGTTGGGTTGGGAGGTGTGGACGGTGAGGTGTCCCGATACTGAAGGACGGGGTGTGGGTGGGAGGGGGTGGACGGTGAGTTCCCCATACTGAGGGATGGTGTTGGGACGTGTGGACGGTGTTGGGGGGTGTGGATGGGGGGAGTTTCCGGGAGGTGTGGGGTTGGGTTGGGAGGTGTGGACGGTGAGTTCCCGATACTGAGGGCCAGTGTTGGGTTGGGAGGGGAGGTGTGGACGGTGAGTTCCCGATACTGAGGACCGGTTGTTGGGAGGGAGGTGTGGACGGGGTATTGGGAGGGTGTGGGGGGTGGTGAGTTCCCGATGAAGGACGGGCCGGTTGTGTGGGGGGTGTGGGAAGGTATTGGGAGGTGTGTGGAGGGTGAGTTCCCGATACTGAAGGACGGTGTTGGGGTTGGGAGGTGGTGGAGGTGTTGGGGGGTGTGGACGGTGAGTTTCCCGATATTGAGGGCCGGTGTTGGGTTGGGAGGTGTGGACGGTGAGTTCCCGATATTGAGGGCCGCTGTTGGGTTGGGAGGTGTGGACGGTGAGTTCCCGATATTGAGGGCCGCTGTTGGGTTGGGAGGTGTGGACGGTGAGTTCCCGATACTGAAGGACGGTGTTGATTAGGTATCTTCTATAATAATCATCTGACCAGATCTGGAATTGCTCCTCTCGTAGGTCGGCGCTGACCCTGACCCCGAACATCAGCCGTATCAGCCAGGATTCTTCGCTCAGTGTGAAGTCGGTCAGTCCGGACAGCAGCGGCAGCTCCTCGGGATTCATAGACACTGAAGGGCCCCGCTCTGGATTTCTTCCCCGCAATCTGCTCACTATGTTCGATGAGACGTTGGATAAATAAATCCCATTATGTGAAGCCAGCAGACTATTGCAGCTACAATGTGAGATCTGCCACCTACGTGGTGCCCCCTGTGGCCAGGAACTGCAGTCACGTCTGTGTTTTTAGCTGAGGCCACCACAGGCTTGGGGTATGGAGGTTGTGGGTGGAGGACACTGCCAGGACCTGCACAGCCAATCATTCCCAGGCTCATACAGCAAGAGATGTCAGGAGGAGGCGGGACTTGTTGATGGGCGTTACAGACTGTTTACATTTATTAAATAAGAATTACTTGGAGGTTTTATCAAATGTTCGTTACCCAACATCCTGTCCGTGTCTTCTTCTCTGAGGGGAGACCTGCCCCCGGGTGCGGGTGAAAGGTGTGGAGCGGCTGAAAGGTGTGTGTGCGTGCGCTCGGTGTGGAGCGGCTGAAAGGTGTGTGTGCGTGCGCTCGGTGTGGAGCGGAAAAAGGTGTGTGTGCGTGCGCTCGGTGTGGAGCGGCTGAAAGGTGTGTGTGTGCGTGCGCTCGGTGTGCAGCGGCTGAAAGGTGTGTGTGTGGAGCGGCTGAAAGGTGCGCGCGCTCGGTGTGGAGCGGCTGAAAGGTGTGTGTGTGTGTGCGCGCGCTCGGTGTGGAGCGGCTGAAAGGTGTGTGTGTGTGTGCGCGCGCTCGGTGTGGGCGGCGGCTGAAAGGGTGTGCGCGCGCTCGGTGTGGAGCGGCTGAAAGGTGTGCGCGCGCTCGGTGTGGAGCGGCTGAAAGGTGTGTGTGTGTGTGGAGGGGTGCCATTTCGAGGTGTCAGGTCTGGAGTGTGTATTGTGTTGTGCTGGGGGAATCTCTTGTAGCGGAGGTGGCCTGTCCCTGCGGAGCTCGCGTGGGGGTGCGAGAACCGTGTGGAGGTGGCCTGTCCCTGCGGAGCTCGTGTGGAGAAAGGTGTGTATTGTGCTGGGGGAACCTCTTGTAGCGGAGAGTGGCCTGTCCCTGCGGAGCCCGTGTGCATTGTGCTGGGGGAACCTCTTGTAGCGGAGGTGGCCTGTCCCTGCGGAGCCCGTGTGTATTGTGCTGGGGGAACCTCTTGTAGCGGAGGTGGCCTGTCCCTGCGGAGCCCGTGTGTATTGTGCTGGGGGAACCTCTTGTAGCGGAGGTGGCCTGTCCCTGCGGAGCCCGTGTGCATTGTGCTGAGGGAACCTCTTGTAGCGGAGGTGGCCTGTCCCTGCGGAGCCCGAGAACCGTGTGTATTGTGCTGGGGGAACCTCTTGTAGCGGAGGTGGCCTGTCCCTGCGGAGCCCGTGTGCATTGTGCTGGGGGAACCTCTTGTAGCGGAGGTGGCCTGTCCCTGCGGAGCCCGTGTGCATTGTGCTGGGGGAACCTCTTGTAGCGGAGGTGGCCTGTCCCTGCGGAGCCCGTGTGTATTGTGCTGGGGGAACCTCTTGTAGCGGAGGTGGCCTGTCCCTGCGGAGCCCGTGTGTATTGTGCTGGGGGAAGCTCTTGTAGCGGAGGTGGCCTGTCCCTGCGGAGCCCGTGTGCATTGTGCTGGGGGAACCTCTTGTAGCGGAGGTGGCCTGTCCCTGCGGAGCCCGCCATCACAGATCCAGAACACACACAGAAGACAACAAGCAAGATATAAGTGTGATAAAAGAAATTTATTATTGCATCAGTAATACTGGCCTCGTGCAAAGCCCTGCGGGATACGCTCCAGCCATCCTCCAATCGCAGAACAAGGCTCCTATTCTAGGGAAGAGGCTGCAGCATGGGGTGTAAGGCGATCCACCAACAGGTGAGGGAGGTGTCCTAGATGTAGCCATCTCCCTGTGTGGTGCTGACATGGATAGGTGTGTCTGGTGATGGAGACAATAGCTGCTCAGCCTGTGAGCTCCCCTTCTGCTCCTCTTACAAAGGGCAAGGTCAGATTTTCAGGATCGGCAGAAAAGGCCAAATTAGGTTTAGCAGCAATATGACCAATATGTCTTTCCCCAACCTTCATTTATTGCCTTCTCGCATCGAAACGAGCCAAGGAGACCCGCTACCATCTACCCGGCACTGACTGGCCCCTCCGAGGGCAGGCTGAAGGGAGCTATTATCTGCAGGAAGTGGCCATGACACCTCCTAAAACTGGCTACCATCTACCCGCCATTATCTGGCCCCTCCGAGTGAAGGCTGAAGGGAGCTATTTGAAGGAAGCGGCCATGACACCTAAAACCGGCTACCATCTACCCGGCACTATCTGGCCACTCCGAGTGAAGGCTGAAAGGAGCTATTATCTGCAGGAAGTGGCCATGACACCTCCTAAAACTGGCTACCATATACCCGCCATTATCTGGCCCCTCCGAGTGAAGGCTGAAGGGAGCTATTTGAAGGAAGCGGCCATGACACCTAAAACCGGCTACCATCTACCCGGCACTATCTGGCAACTCCGAGTGAAGGCTGAAAGGAGCTATTATCTGCAGGAAGTGGCCATGACACCTCCTAAAACCGGCTACAGTCTACCCACCACTATCTGGCCCCTCCGAGTGAAGGCTGAAGGGAACCATTACCGTATGGAAGCAGCTGCGATGCCTCTAGTCTTCCTCCAAAGGCCCCTCTCCCAGAAAACCTGCTACTGAATGTACCTTCCATGTGCAGCTATAAGGGCCAAAGGGTTTAAAGTAGAAATAAACACTCCATCCTACACCCCAACGATCCCAACATTCCCCAATACAAGTCCCAGAGAGGTGCCTGGACCCTAAACTGGAAGGAGCTTCCTCATCACCTGCCTACACTACCTACTGAAACTGGTGCCAACGTCATGTTACAATCCTCACAAGAGCTCCTATTGGGGGGGGGGGGGGGGGTGTTAGTGGAGACCTCAGCCTAGCACAGTGTAGAGCGAATCCCAGCACCTGAGCGAGACTTTAGCAGCAACTGCTCCACGTTGGCAAAGAAAATACAATGTTCTCCTGAATGGCTGATCATCCATGGCTCTTATGTAAGGAGAGCTTTTAAATGGGCCGGCCTGTAATGGGTGAGTTTATTTCCCCTTTAGAAAGCAGCCATAACACCCCCTTGTCATTGGTGGATGTGAGGAGCGTGGGTGCCACGGCTGGAGCATATCGTCATAAGTCTAAAGTGTAACAGTTTAGTAGAATCCAACCCACGAGGTCAGGAAACGTCATAGTCGGCCACAGCAGAGATCGACTTGTGCATGAACGCTAAAGACTCCGTACAGAAGACATATATACCTGTTCATCCATACAGAGAGGTCGTTGTGTCTCCTGGGCTCTGTGGACATTTATCTTAGTTCTGCACCATGTTACAGCCAACTGGCCATCTGTGTATGTTACTATATAAAAGATTCGAAAACCCTGCAAGTCTCACTTGCATGGGACCAGAGCGAAGAGGTCATTCAGTAGATCACAGTTCAGAAACCCTACAAGTCTCCCTATTGGGGGCAAGTGAAGAGCGGTCACTCCATTGATCACAATATAGAAATCATGCAGGTCTCCCCAATGGGGCCAGAGAAGAGAGGTCAGATTAGTTTTGATACCCCATAGGTCTCCATGTCCAAAGGCTAGGGCGGAGAGGTCATCTTATTGCTCTCAATTCAGAAACCCCACAGATCTATCAAACATGAGGCTGGTGTGGAGAGGTCATTCAATAGATCACATTTCAGAAAACCTGGTGCCAGACTGGAGAAGTCATTTCACTGATTACAATTTGGAAAGCTCATAGGGCCCCCTAACCTGTGGGCAGAGTGGAGAAGTAATTGCATTGACCACAATTTAGAAAGCCCGTAGGCCTCTCTAACCTGGGGCTGGAGTGCAGATGTCATTCCATTGACCACAATTTTGAAAGCCCGTAAGCCCCTAACCTAGGGTTGGAGTGCAGACGTCATTGCATTGACCACAATTTGGAAAGCCCGTAGGCCCCTAACCTAGGGTTGGAGTGCAGACGTCATTCCATTGACCACAATTTGGAAAGCCCGTAGGCCCCTAACCTAGGGTTGGAGTGCAGACGTCATTCCATTGACCACAATTTGGAAAGCCCGTAGGCCCCTAACCTAGGGTTGGAGTGCAGACGTCATTCCATTGACCACAATTTGGAAAGCCCGTAGGCCCCTAACCTAGGGTTGGAGTGCAGGCGTCATTCCATTGACCACAATTTGGAAAGCCCGTAGGCCCCTAACCTAGGGTTGGAGTGCAGACGTCATTCCATTGACCACAATTTGGAAAGCCCGTAGGCCCCTAACCTAGGGTTGGAGTGCAGACATCATTCCATTGACCACAATTTGGAAAGCCTGTAGGCCTCCCTAACCTGGGACCAGAGTGGAGAGGTCATTCCATTAATCACGATTCAAAAACTTTGCAGGTCTCCCCGACACAAGGCTGGAGTGGAGAGGTCATTCTTTTGTTCACAATTCGGAAACCCCCACAGGTCTCCATGACACCAGCTGGAGTAGGCTGGTCACTCAATAGATCACAGCTTTGCAAAGTCTCTTCTCCTGCTAATACTGATATGTGAAAACTACATTCACCCGCACTTGGGACCATACTAAAGACACATATTGAAGTAGGCATTCTTAGTATTAAATTACCCCCCACCCTTCCTTGTCCACAGCAGTCGTAGTACCACTGTGTCAAGTCTTGAAATGCAAAGACAGTTCTACTTCAGTAAACAAGTCTGGTTTTTGCTGGTTATGTGTGCAGCTACTTATAACGTCCACTACATCCTGTCCCGTGTCCATGGCTCATGCCGGTCCTAAGCTACCTATGCCTAGAGTTTGGCGGCTTCACTCCGGAGGACACGTATAGCTGCTTATCCACATGAGGTCAGAGGTTACTCCCCAGTGCAAGTATAAGATGCTAATTACTACCAGGACGTGCATAATCTGGTGGCTGTTGCACCAGAAGTCAAACTTTCCTGGCCGCAGGCGCTCGGGGAGGCGGGAGATGTTGATGATCCCTCCGAGCAAGGCCAGGCTATCCATTAGGAGGTAGCAGCGTAGGGAGGACGGATGTCCAGAGCCCAGTCCAGCCCAGCGCAGGTAGAAGAAGAAGAAACGGAAGGCGGCCTGCCAGGCGAACGAACAGAGTCGGCTCACGTTGCTGTGCGCGCTGATGGCACAGAAGATGACGTAACTTGACAAGGCAGAGTACGCCAAGAGGGACAAACTCCGCATGGACGGGTAGCACAGCAAGGTACAATAGATGATGGGGAGAGCACCTGCGGGACAGAAAAACAACAAATGAAATCTCTACATATCAACTTTTCAGTGTGAATGGCCTAAGAGCTGACTACAGGATATCTCTTCTGGGGCCCAACTTTCCCTGACGTTCTACCTAAGGCCCACCACTATCCAATGAGACCTCTATGACCAGGACGGGCACTCTTATTGGACAGGGCGATTGCAGGCAAGCTGTAATATCTCATTTTAAGCAGAACTTTTACTTTTTAAGGCCAAGTTTGGGTTTACCTTTCTATAAACTAGAAATGGTAATCTCTTTATATATGTAGCCCTCTAAGCTGAGTCTTGCCTATACGTGGAGCTCCAAGCAGAGTCTTGCCTATACGTGGAGCTCCAAGCAGAGTCTTGCCTATACGTGGAGCTCCAAGCAGAGTCTTGCCTATACGTGGAGCTCCAAGCAGAGTCTTGCCTATACGTGGAGCTCCAAGCAGAGTCTTGCCTATACGTGGAGCTCCAAGCAGAGTCTTGCCTATACGTGGAGCTCCAAGCAGAGTCTTGCCTATTCGTGGAGCTCTAATCAGAGTCTTGCCTATACGTGGAGCTCTAAGCAGAGTCTTGCCTATACGTGGAGCTCCAAGCAGAGTCTTGCCTATACGTGGAGCTCCAAGCAGAGTCTTGCCTATACGTGGAGCTCCAAGCAGAGTCTTGCCTATACGTGGAGCTCCAAGCAGAGTCTTGCCTATACGTGGAGCTCCAAGCAGAGTCTTGCCTATACGTGGAGCTCTAAGCAGAGTCTTGCCTATACGTGGAGCTCCAAGCAGAGTCTTGCCTATACGTGGAGCTCCAAGCAGAGTCTTGCCTATACGTGGAGCTCTAAGCTGAATCTTGCCTATTCATAGAGCTCTAAGCTGAGCCTTGCCCACACTTAGACCTTTAAGCTGAATCTTGCCTGTACAAAGACCTTTGTGTCGAGCCTGGGGCTTACGATTGGACCTTTGTGTCGAGCCTGGGGCCTACGCGTGGCTCTCTCAGGTAAGTCATCTATGCCATGGTTCTATGAGGCGGTGGGGGAGGAGTTCACCCATACGTATGCTGCCATGAAGTTGTTGAGGATCTTCTCTGGCTTATTAACTATTCTGCACACCTTTCATTTCATTGGCTTCCACGCTCTGTGGTTGGGTGTACACTACGGAAAGACTACCTACGAGACACGCTGCGATGAGAGCCGCTGTCTCCCAAACCGAAGTAAAAGTCATTAGAACTCACCTAATGTATTAACGAGGCAGATCCCGCACATGTCCAGGGTGAGCAGCTTGTGATAGATGGGCGCCCCACCATGGTGGTTCATGAAGAGGTGGTACACGACGCTGCCCAACTGTGGGCTGACACAGGCCAGATAGTGGACCAGTCCAAGCCACGGTACAGCCAGCTGTCGCCAGGGAATCTGAAGAGGGAGGAGGAAGAAGAAACCAAGAAGAGGGATACCTGAAAGAGACAAGATTAGTGTGATTAGTGTCCGAGACTCCGACCGACTTTCCCGGCCACAGCAGACAACACACACACTCTCCATACACGTGCAGTAACTGGCACTGTGCACAGGAGAGCAGACAACGCACGCCTCTCCACATACACGTGCAGTAACTGGCACTGCGCACAGGAGAGCAGACAACGCACGCCTCTCCACATACACGTGCAGTAACTGGCACTGCGCACAGGAGAGCAGACAACGCACACCTCTTCCATACATGTGCAGTAACTGGCACTGCGCACAGGAGAGCAGACAACGCACACCTCTTCCATACACGTGCAGTAACTGGCAGTGCGCACAGGAGAGCAGACAACGCACACCTCTTCCATACACGTGCAGTAACTGGCACTGCGCACAGGAGAGCAGACAACGCACACCTCTTCCATACACGTGCAGTAACTGGCACTGCGCACAGGAGAGCAGACAACGCACACCTCTTCCATACACGTGCAGTAACTGGCACTGCGCACAGGAGAGCAGACAACGCACACCTCTTCCATACACGTGCAGTAACTGGCACTGCGCACAGGACAGCAGACAACGCACACCTCTTCCATACACGTGCAGTAACTGGCACTGCGCACAGGAGAGCAGACAACGCACACCTCTTCCTCACACGTGCAGTAACTGGCACTGCGCACAGGAGAGCAGACAACGCACACCTCTTCCATACACGTGCAGTAACTGGCACTGCGCACAGGAGAGCAGACAATGCACACTTCTATAGTAAGAGAGCAGATTGCTGGCGGCTGAAGGATCTATGGCAGAGACAGCCATGTTGGCTGAACACGATACATGTAAGTGAAGTACTTGTATCACCTGTAATCTCATCCACATCTTATTTACTCTCCTGAGGGATCACAATACACCGGCAGGGAGTCCCAAGCTCCATAATCTTCAGTCACTTCCATGAAAATTTAATTGCAGGTTCTCGGCTGTACTTGCGTGAGGGAGGATTACATTCACAGAAGTAGGAACATAAAAATGCATCTGGGGTATCACCAGGACTGGGGCACCGAAATGGAAATTCTGGTGCCGAACCCGAAAATTCAAAATGCACTTGGCTGAAAACCGAAACCGAAAATCGCAGTTTTTAAAAATGAACATAGATTTTTTAGAAACAAATATACTTTGATTAAAAAATACAATATATACCCCAATTGCTTGGTAAAATATGTAAGAGGATGTTACGGCGAGTAAATAGATACCCAACGTGTCACGCTTTAAAATTGCGCACGCTCGTGGAATGGCGTGAAACTACAGTACTTAAAAATCTCCATGAGTGATGCTTAAAAAATGTCTCCAGGTTAGCAGTGTGTGACGTCACAGAGGAGGTCTAGTGCGAGAATTATTGCTCTTGCTTCGATGTTTGTGGCGATACCTCACATGTGTGGTTTGAACACCATTTACATATGTGGGCGTGGCCTACGTATGCGATCACCACTATGTGTGAGCACGGGGCGAGGGGGGCCCTTTAAACTTTTTTAAAAAAATGTATTTAATGTTTTTTTTTTTCTGCACTGTTCCTTTTAAAAAAATTGTAATCACTTTTATTCTTATCACAAGAAATGCTGCATCCCTGTGATAGAAATAATTAGTGACAGGTCCTCTTTATGGAGAGATATGGGGGGGGGGGAATGAGACATAATTAGTGACGGGTCCTCTTTATGGAGAGATATGGGGGGGGGGGGGACAATGAGACATAATTAGTGACAGGTCCTCTTTATGGAGAGATATGGGGGGGGGGGGGCAATGAGACATAATTAGTGACGGGTCCTCTTTATGGAGAGATATGGGGGGGGGGGGGGCAATGAGACATAATTAGTGACAGGTTTATGGAGAGATATGGGGGGGGGGGGGGACAATGAGACATAATTAGTGACAGGTCCTCTTTATGGAGAGATATGGGGGGGGGGGACAATGAGACATTAATTAGTGACATTGGGTGACAGGTCCTCTTTATGGACAATGAGATAATTAGTGGGGGGGGGGGGGGGGGGGGACAATGAGACATAATTAGTGACAGGTCCTCTTTATGGAGAGATATGGGGGGGGGGGGGGGCAATGAGACATAATTAGTGACAGGTCCTCTTTATGGAGAGATATGGGGGGGGGGGAGAGAGGGGGGGGGGGGACAATGAGACATAATTAGTGACAGGTCCTCTTTATGGAGAGATATGGGGGGGGGGGGGGGAATGAGACATAATTAGTGACAGGTCCTCTTTATGGAGAGATATGGGGGGGGGGGGGGACAATGAGACATAATTAGTGACAGGTCCTCTTTATGGAGAGATATGGGGGGGGGGGGGGAGAGATATGGGGGGGGACAATGAGACATAATTAGTGACAGGTCCTCTTTATGGAGAGATATGGGGGGGGGGGGGGACAATGAGACATAATTAGTGACAGGGTCCTCTTTATGGAGAGATATGGGGGGGGGGGGGGACAATGAGACATAATTAGTGACAGGTCCTCTTTATGGAGAGATATGGGGGGGGGGGGACAATGAGACATAATTAGTGACAGGTCCTCTTTATGGAGAGATATGGGGGGGGGGGGGGGATGAGACATAATTAGTGACAGGTCCTCTTTATGGAGAGATATATAGACATAATTAGTGACAGGTCCTCTTTATGGAGAGATATGGGGGGGGGGGGGGGCAATGAGACATAATTAGTGACAGGTCCTCTTTATGGAGAGATATGGGGGGGGGGGGGGGGGAATGAGACATAATTAGTGACAGGTCCTCTTTATGGAGAGATATGGGGGGGGGGGGGGGACAATGAGACATAATTAGTGACAGGTCCTCTTTATGGAGAGATATGGGGGGGGGCAATGAGACATAATTAGTGACAGGTCCTCTTTATGGAGAGAGATATGGGGGGGGGGGGGGGACAATGAGACATAATTAGTGACAGGTCCTCTTTATGGAGAGAGAATGATATGGGGGGGGGGATGGGGGGGGACAATGAGACATAATTAGTGACAGGTCCTCTTTATGGAGAGATATGGGGGGGGGGGGGGGACAATGAGACATAATTAGTGACAGGGTCCTCTTTATGGAGAGATATGGGGGGGGGGGACAATGAGACATAATTAGTGACAGGTCCTCTTTATGGAGAGATATGGGGGGGGGGGGGACAATGAGACATAATTAGTGACAGGTCCTCTTTATGGAGAGATATGGGGGGGGGGGGGGGGGACAATGAGACATAATTAGTGACAGGTCCTCTTTATGGAGAGATATGGGGGGGGGGGGGGATGAATGAGACATAATTAGTGACAGGTCCTCTTTATGGAGAGATATGGGGGGGGGGGGACAATGAGACATAATTAGTGACAGGTCCTCTTTATGGAGAGATATGGGGGGGGGGGGGGGGCAATGAGACATAATTAGTGACGGTCCTTTATGGAGAGATGGGGGGGGGGGCACAATGAGACATAATTAGTGACAGGTCCTCTTTATGGAGAGATATGGGGGGGGGGTCAATGAGACATAATTAGTGACAGGTCCTCTTTATGGAGAGATATGGGGGGGGGGGTCAATGAGACATAATTAGTGACGGGTCCTCTTTATGGAGAGATATGGGGGGGGGGGGGCAATGAGACATAATTAGTGACAGGTCCTCTTTATGGAGAGATATGGGGGGGGGGGGGGCAATGAGACATATTAGTGACAGGTCCTCTTTATGGAGAGATATGGGGGGGGGGGGCAATGAGACATAAGTGACACCTTCCTGACCCCATCAGTTCCCATATCATCCACCATTAGAAGACCTTTTTTATACCAATAAAAGTATTAGTAGAGGTAAGTGACCATCCAACATCATGGAGTGTGAAGTGTAACTCCCGACACGAGGAAAGAAATATAAATGGAGGGGGTGGAGGTGAGGAGGGGGTGGGGGTGAGGGGGGTATGGTCTCAGGAGGTGAGGAGGGGTGGGGGTGAGGGGGCAGGAGGTGAGGGGGTATCTCCCCAACAATCTGGAACCTCCTCCATCCAGAACAAACCAGGAACAGGTAGGTCCTGGGTTCCATCATTATTTCAGAATTCACCATGGATGATGGGCTGTAGGTAGGTCTCCATTCCCCTAAAGATTACCCTGGATGATGGGCTGTAGGTAGGTCTCCAAAAGATACCCTGGATGATGGGCTGTAGGTAGGTCTCCATTCCCCTAAAAGATACCCTGGATGATGGGCTGTAGGTAGGTCTCCATTCCCCTAAACATACCCTGGATGATGGGCTGTAGGTAGGTCTCCATCCCTAAACATACCCTGGATGATGGGCTGTAGGTAGGTCTCATTCCCCTAAAGATACCCTGGATGATGGGCTGTAGGTAGGTCTCCATTCCCCTAAAGATACCCTGGATGATGGGCTGTAGGTAGGTCTCCATTCCCCTAAAACATACCCTGGATGATGGGCTGTAGGTAGGTCTCCATTCCCCTAAAACATACCCTGGATGATGGGCTGTAGGTAGGTCTCCATTCCCCTAAACATACCCTGGATGATGGGCTGTAGGTAGGTCTCCATTCCCCTAAAGATACCCTGGATGATGGGCTGTAGGTAGGTCTCCATTCCCCTAAACATACCCTGGATGATGGGCTGTAGGTAGGTCTCCATTCCCCTAAAGATACCCTGGATGATGGGCTGTAGGTAGGTCTCCATTCCCCTAATCCCCTGGATGAAGGTAGGTCTCCATTCCCTAAACATACCCTGGATGATGGGCTGTAGGGTAGGTCTCCATTCCCCTAACATACCCTGGATGATGGGCTGTAGGTAGGTCTCCATTTCCCCCCTAGGTTCTCCATTCCCCTACCCTGGATGATGGGCTGTAGGTAGGTCTCCATTCCCCTAAACATACCCTGGATGATGGGCTGTAGGTAGGTCTCCATTCCCCTAAAGATACCCTGGATGATGGGCTGTAGGTAGGTCTCCATTCCCCTAAACATACCCTGGATGATGGGCTGTAGGTAGGTCTCCATTCCCCTAAACATACCCTGGATGATGGGCTGTAGGTAGGGCTGTAGGTAGGTCTCCATTCC